TTTGAACCCACACTGTCTGATTGGAGAAAGCTGAAGGAAGAAAACAAATGCTTAAATACAGAGATAAGGATGCTAATGGAAAACAGGAAGAGGGATCAACATCACATAAAACAAGTCACCGAAAAAGCATTTCAGGTGAGAAAAAAGTACTTCAGTGAGAAGATGAAACACGAGCAATTAAAGGAATCCATAAAGAGGAAAGAGGTCAAGGTAGAAGAAGATACTGCTTTGGAAGAACCTACAGATAAAAGCAAAGTTCAAGTGAAAACCAACAATGAACAAGTCACATTTCTACCATCCATCCTTGAAACAACCTCCCAGCTACCCAAGAGAAGAATTTTGACTCTGAGTGAAGGCAAGTTAGAGCCAGACTTTAAAGACGACAAACTCTTAACACCAGAAATGTTAAATCAGTTTAAGCCAAAGCCCCCTAGCAAGAAGAAGGCTGAAACGACGTCTTTTAGACCATGAGGCAGGAAAGGTTTCTCTCAGGGAACTGAGCAGAGAAAAGGTAGCGGGCAACCTGGCGGGAGTGCAGAGTAGATGAGAATTGTGGGGACCAGAAGTGGGTGAATGAACTCAATCTACTCTTCAAAAGGTTTGATCACTCTGCTGCTCCCCCCACTACTCAGGCACTACTGCTGACACCTTCCTGTCTGGCAAGACCGACACGCTTTCCTCTCCCCTCTCCAATACTGACCCACCTTACTCTCAATACACAGTCACCTCCAAACATCTCTCCTGCTGACATACATTCCAGCACAACCACCCCACCCCACCAATCCAGCCTGACATACACAGCACTTAACGTGAGAAGTGAGCTCAGGAAGATAAAGACTAGGAAGGCAGCAGGTCCAGATGGGATCAGCTCAAGGCTTCTCAAGACCTGTGCAGATGAGTTGTGTGATGTGACCGGGTAAATCTTTAATCTCAGCTTGAGGTTAGGGAAAGTCCCACAGCTTTTGAAGACATCCTGCGTGGTACCGGTGCCAAAGAGCCCACACCCAAAAGACCTCAACAGCTACAGGCCGGTTGCATTGACATCTCACCTGATGAAGACCTTGGAGAGACTGCTTCTTGCCCACCTCCGCCCCCTGGTGAGTCCATGTATGGACCCACTTCACTTTGCCTACCAACCTGGCATTGGAGTGGAGGATGCCATCATCCACCTCTACACAACTCTTCTACACAGCTCTCTTTCTCACCTGGAGAATACTGGGAGCACAGTGAGAATCATGTTTTTTGATTTCTCAAGTGCTTTCAACACCATCCAGCCCATGATACTGAAGGACAAGCTGGAGTACACGGGTCTGGACCACTACCTCATCACCTGGATCCTGGATTACCTCACAAAACGACCACAGTATGTGAGGACCCAGGGCTGTCAGTCAGACAAGGTTGTCTGCAGCACGGGGGCTCCACAAGGAACAGTCCTTGCCCCCTTCCTTTTCACCCTCTACACTGCTAACTTCCGGTACAGCTCTGCCAGTTGTCACCTGCAGAAGTTCTTGGATGACTCTGCTATCGTCGATCTCATCAAGGATGGAGATGATGGGGAGTACAGAGAACTGACTCAGAACTTTATGGAATGGTACCAGAGGAACTGTCTGCAGATCAACACAGGAAAAACAAAAGAACTCGTGGTGGACTTCTGCAGGTCCAAACACTCCTTCTGTGCCAGTGAACATTCAGGGAATGGACATTGAAATTGTGAGGTCCTACAAGTACCTGGGTGTTCACCTTAACAACAAGCTGGAATGGGCTGACCACAAAGCTGCCCTCTACAAGAAAGGACTGAGCAGACTACATCTCCTGAGGAGACTCAGGTCCTTTTGTGTGTGTGGGGGGCTCTTCTCAGGACCTTCTTTGATGCTGTGGTGGCATCAGCCATTTTTTACGGAGTGGTCTGTTGGGGCAGCAGCATCTCCACTGCTGACAGGAAGAGACTGAACAAGATTCTCAGGAAATCCAGCTCTGTCCTGGGGTGTCCTGTTGACCCAGTGGAGGTGGTGGCAGACAGGAGAATGAGGACTAAGCTTCAGCACATGCTGGAGTACCCGTCCCACCCCAAGTCAGGAAACTTTCTCTCAGGGAAACTGAGCAGAGAAAAGGTAGCGGGCAACTTGGCGGGAGTGCTGAATAGATGAGAACTCTGAAGTTCCCTCATCAACTTTAGATTAACTCATTAATTAATAACTTAAATCCCTATCTGTATTGAGCATTGTGTTTCTCCAGGTGCTCTGGTTTTCACTACCATTCAGGAGGAAAAACCCGAATGGTAGCCTAAATAAGTGATTAGGCTAATTGGGCTCTTTTAAATTTGCCTTTGTCTCTCGCTCACTAACTGTTGGAGATACTCTTGAAATGGACACACACTTTTTAACTAAATGCATAGGTTTTCTCCGGGTGCTCTGGTTTTTCCTACCTTCGGGAAAACAAGTGATCAGGTTAATTGGTCTTTTAATTTTACCTGTGTCTCACTCACTGGCTGTTGGAGATACAAAGAATATGAACTTTTCTAGTTCAGATTCTTAATGTGTTTCTTTTTAGCACACACTCCTTAAATGGCCTCATGTAATGTCTTCCAGCATAGTGTTTCTGCATTTTCTGTTTTCTTAGTCTTCTTAATTTTTAGCAGGTCATAGAATATGACCGTTCTCTCTAAGCTGGAGAGTCTTCCTGTTAGAAGGAAGTTGTTCCTCTCCACTTGACTGCTCAGGATGAGGGTCTGTAATGTCAATGACTAAATTAGATGGATGGACTGGATGCAGTTTTTCTCCGGGTGCTCCGGGTTTTTTTCTTTTTGACTATTTGGGAAAAAAAGTGTTTAGGCTAATTGGGCTCTTCAATTTACCTCTGTCTGTCACTCACTAACTGTTGGACAAAAAGTCTGACCTGAACAAAACTGTTTCCTTCACATGCTCATTAATGGCCTCATACAATATCCTCCAGCCCTCCATTTCTATTTGAAATAGGCTTCCTCAGGACGCCATTAACTAAACAAAAAAAGTGTGATTATATCACTAAGCTGAACACAGCAACTGCATTTAATCATATCTTCAATTTACTGATATATTGGAAAATACAGTGGTGAATATAGAAAAAATAACGTTCAACAATACTATTGGTATTGTGTGCGGGGTTTTTTTTACCATCAATGACTGAAAATTATTGAGAAAAATCCTTAAAAAATGATCACCATGGTGATCTTTTCACAATAAATGATAAACAATGTGATAAAGATCCACCCCTAGGCTTTGCTCACAGTGACACATGTCCTGCACAAACGTGAGCAGAGATGCCACTCAGTGAGGAAAGAGCCATTCCTCCAAAAGAAGCATAAAAAAGTCAGACTGCCAATTTGCAAATGCACACAGAGACAGTGGCATGATAGGTATCACTAACATCTTGACTTCCTCCATTCAGTGTGCTAAACATGTCTAATAAATAAAAAAATTGCCAAAAAGCTTATGTTAGTGAAAAGGCACTGGCAAGGCTAATGCTAAAGCTAAGGTGAATGATAGCAGTAATTAACAACAGCTAATTAGCACTTAGCTAGTGCTAAGGTTAATGATAGCACTAATTAGCAACGCTAAGGCTAATGCAATGCCTTGCTTCCTATGGATTGCTATGGTAAGTAACACTTACTTACTTACAGTTATTTAGCAACCCAGAACAGTTTTAAAAACTTGGAATCCAGAAAAACTTCCTCAGCAACTACTTCTTAGACTCCTATTCTTCCAAACCAGAAAAGGAGATAGACCAGAAGATAGTTACTTATACTTATCTAGCAACCCTGAATAGGAGTATCTAGTTTTTTTTTGTTGTTCTTTTTTTTTACTTTAAATCAACATTGTTATTAGCTTTTTTTCTTTTGCTCTTTCTTTTGGTTTGTTATTTTGTTTGTATTTCCTTTTAATTCCTGTAAAGAAGTTTGTATTGCCTTGTGCATGCTCTGGGTTCTTATGTTCTTGTTTTATTTATTCGCCAATTAAATAAATATAAATATCTTTTAATAAAATAAAATAGCTACTGCAGTGTA